AACAAACTTTACGTGCTTGATAACTCTCCCACCCCGCAGACATCTACACGTCAATACCGATTTATATTCATAGCGGCAAGTGCTATGTAGCTCCACATAGGGGACACAGGAAGTGACATATAGCACCTTCATGCGGCGTCGGAACCGCGTAGGAAATTCACAGCCGCACCGGCAGAGCTCCAGAATGTGCAACTCGGCCGGCTCACGCGCGGACGCGCTTACAAGTGCGAGGGCCCGCCCAATGCTGCTTGCAGCTTTAATTATCTCTGGATTTATGAATTGGGGCTATTAAACCTTTGTTCCAGATATCTGGAAAAGTTCCAGTTGCTAGAATAGTATTCAATAGTTTTAGTATAGCCATTCTGATTTTATTTCGTTGAGGATTCCATCAATACCACGAGCCTTTTTTCCTTTCAGGGACTGGATGACTTCTGTTAATTCTTGTTCTGTTACCGGGTAATCTAGAGGGTTTAGGTTGTTTTTTAATCACCACCTCCAGAGTTTTCCATTTTGTGAATATCTTGTACTGATCATCATTTTTTGTAATATTACTATATAATTCACTAAAGTGATTAATCCAAGTATTCTTCCATCTTGGATAGCCAGTTCATCCTGCTGAGTTTTGTTTAGGTTGTTCCATTTCTCCCAGAACTGGTTGGACTCTAGGGATTCCTCAATTTCACAGAGCTGGTTCTTGCTGTGTTGTTCTTTCTTTGTTTTTAGGGTGTACTTGTATTGTTTCAGAGTGGCCTCATATTGACAGTGTATGTTGTGGTTATCTGGGTCCCTATGCTTTTCATTTGATAATTTCCTTAAAGTTTTCCTCAGGTTTTTGCATTCAATGTCAAACCATTTCTTATTGGTCCTTTGTTGAGGTTTTGGTTTGGAGGCTTTTAAATTAGACAATGAAGCCAAATGATGAAAAATTTAATGGATTTTGTCCACAGCAGCATTTGCACCAGAATATTCTGGGGAAATGTTTCAGTTAGAAATAAATGAGTTAAATCATGTATGTTTTGATTTTCCAGTGCCTTTTGGGACGTCCCCATGCTGTCTGGGGTCCATCTGTATGAGTATGTGCTGTTAAGCAGTTCACAGGCACTAGGGGCCCCAGAGTTAGAATGAGCCCTTTTTAGATAGATAGTTATTTTGCTGTGGTCTGAGAAACATTGGATCGTATCTGTAATGAAATAATCTACTGTACTACTGCCAAGAGCTGAGCTGTAAGTGTAGCAACCCAGAGAGTCCTCTCGTAGCCTGCCGTTGACTATAAAGGACCCAGAGTATGACATAGTTGTAAAAGCTGCATACCGCTTGTATTAGTAAGCTTGTCAAAGCTCTTTCTAGCAGGACATTCAGGGAGGGGGAAGCAGGTGCTTCCAGGTAAGTGTTTGTCTCCCTGGATGGTAATAGTGTCAGCTCTTTCCCCTGTTCGAGCGTTCAAGTTCCCACAGAGTAATACATTTCCCATGGTTTTATAATTGGTTAATTTCCTCCTCAAGAATAGAGAAAATATCTGGGTTGTAGTCCTTCACCCCAACCGGTCGAGGCAGATGGCTGCCCACCCTCAGCCATGGTTCTGCTCAAGGTTTCTGCCTCTTAAAAGGAAGTTTTTCCTCGCCTAGTGCTTGCTCTTGGTGGGAATTGTTGGGCTTCTGTAAATAGCATCATAGAGTATGGTCTAGACCTGCTCTTTTATGAAAAGCGCTGTGAGATAACTGTTGTTGTGATTTGGCGCTATATAAATAAAATTGAATTGAATAGTAGGGGGATTCTGATGGAAGTATATAGATGGCACACATGCAGACATGTTGCTCAGTACGAATCATCTTTTTGTTAATTTTCAACCATATATAAGCTTCTTCTTTTTTAATAACTGTTTACACCATATAATCATGCCTCCTGAATCCTTGGGTTATTGTGGGATTTTTTGTTGATGGTAGGATGATCTCCGTGTAGCCGTGAGGACAACCACTGGAGACATCTTCTCTGCACCATGTCTCCTTTAAAATTATGATGTCAGAGTCTTTTAACTCTCTATTAAAACCTGAGTTTCTGCTCTTTAAGCTGATGCTCTCAGACCTTGAATGTGCCAACATGTTGTTGTAAAGGATTTCATCTCCAAGTGTAATATGTTCAAAAATTAGACAAACAGCTTAAGAAACTAATTATAATAGTAATAATAATAAACTAGATATTAAAAAACTAGTAATAGTAACAAATGAAAAGAAAAAAAGTGGGGATTTGGTGACCTGGCCGTCCTCTCTGAAAGCCAGGGGTGGATGCATGGTGGAGGTCTGGATGGTCTTGAAGGTCTAGGAGGTCCTGGAGGTCTGCAAAGGGTCTGCGTTGTGTGGTTACCCCTTGAAGTGGTAGTAGGGCTTCTTCAAAGGGCAACATCTTTAAAGGTCCTAGCAAGGGTGGGGACTACATTTCTGTGTAGGTGTATGTTATCATACAGGCAGTCCAGGTGGAGGGTCGGGTGGTGGGCCAAGAACACGTTGGGTTTGAGGGCACAGTCCCTGGAGAGTCTGATATTCACTCTGTGAATAGTGTGGGGGTGGAAGTCTCTCCTGTGCAGCAGCGTGGATATGACTATCTTGCTGGTAGGAAAGTTGGTGGAGGCTTGCTCAATGACTCTCCTCAGAGAGTCTGCCAGTCTGTCCTGCTGGGACCTGAAGTCGCTGGTGCCTGTATGAATGATGATGTGGCTAGATGAGCCTAGTTCAGCAACAGCTCCAGGGCTCTCCTGGTGTTGGGGCACAAGATGTTCTCCGTTCTGTGCCTTGGGAATAAGGTCTTTTCATCCAGGAACTTTCCATTAGAGTCCATGAGGAGGATAATGTCAGCCTTTCTGCCTGTGTGTGTTTGTTCAGATTCAGCTGTCGGGTCTGGATGTGGAGCTATGGTGGTGGTTTCAGGTCTGGAGCTCCTGGCTGGAGGTTGGCTATAGGCCTTGGATGGGTGCAGGGTTTTGACTGTCGTCTTGGCTTGGGATGTTTGTATGGAGACAGCTGGTTGGTACAGGGGAGGGATTAGAGTCTGCACCAGGCTGGGTGAGAGGATCCAACTGTCTTCTCTGCGAGCTAGTTCTTGTTGAAAATCTCTGTGAGTTGACACTGTCCTGTTCTTTCTTGGCCTGGAAGTCACTGACAGTAGGAGTAGTAGGCTGCTGCAGTTGGTCCAGCTGCTCTCTGATCTGTACCAGTTCTATTTCCATCTGGGAGAAGTGTTCTCTCATGATGTCCAGGGCCTCAAGCTGATGATACACGGGGCAACTTTTTGAGCAATGTTGCTGGGCAGTCTTGCTAGTGGCAAGCCCGACGATGTTTTGAACGGATAGCGGCAGGGCAGGGCAGGTGGCAGAGTGGTGGGGAAAGGAGATTACGGTAGTAATCTTTACTCATTACCACTGACGACAATGTTGCCCTGCACGATTGCTCAAAAAGTTGCCAGTATCATCAGCTTCAGAGTAATGTAGCTTCTGTATTCTCTGTTTAAAACAGCACTACTGCTGTTATTGATGCCGTTGCTAGGTAACCACAGTCCAGTATTAGCTTGTTAGCTATTAGCTTGAGTGTTTCAGTTGGAATTGTTTTATAGTAATAAATGCAAAAACTTACTGATTTCAGTGTCCCGTTTGCTGTTACTTGCTTGAGTTCCTCTATCCTCTTCGTTTGTTTTTGTTCTCTCCTTGTGTTTCTCTTCAGTTTGATGCTCCTTCAAATTATATCTCTTTTCCTTCTTTCTCTTTCTTTCTCCTTCTTTTTCCTCTATTTCTCTCCTCTGGTGTATTGTGGTCACTTCTTTTGCATTTTCCTCATAAAAAGTCGGTGTTTATCCAATTTTTGGACCGAAAACAAGCGTTTTGTTTAGCAGCAAGCCTTAAACATGACTTCTGATTAACAACAGAATTCGGAACTCGCATGTCTATATGTATATAAGAGAAAGAAATCTTAACTAACAAATGAAAATGCTTTGAGAAATGTTTATTTGCACAGTAAGAAAACAATATAGTACAGCAATATAGTTTTCCCTCATATAAAAAAGACATTTCCACTGTAAATTGGAGCAGAAAATGTCTCCAGAATGCAGGAAATTACCAGTTTAATGTTCAAAATCTTCTGGGGGAAGACCTCAGACCTCCCACACATATTTCTGCTTCAAATATTTAATCTATATAGTGCTAAAAATCATGTTCTAAACAAAATATAGGTTAACCACTGCCATTAAATACAAAACTAAACCATTGTATTGGCTGCAACAGTAAGCTGTGGTATGGGGTGGAGGAAAAAAACACAGGCTCCAGTCAGGCTTGGGCTGAGAATTCTGATAAGCTGTCGGACACGGGGTAAGGCCTTAGGGTCACGGGCCAGGGCCGGGCTAGGGCTTAGATTTGAGGCCCATGCAGAGCTCTACTAATGAGAGTGCTGAAAAGAAACCTGGGGCTGTTCTTATTTTCCTCTATTAATGAGAAGTAATATGCTGCTCTGGCAATACTATAAATTTTAAAACTATCTTGCCAGACTAAACAACATTCGTCCAGATAGGTGTAACGCCATTACCTTTCAAGTTTCCTTGATGTTTGGTTTGATTTACGCGTTTGGGAGTTATACCATGGAGCCAACCTTCCCTATTTTATTATCTTCTTTTTTAGAGGGGCAACAAAATCGAGTGTCATTCGCAGTGAGCCTGCATATGAAGTTAGCATAAGAGTCCTCTGTTATGTTGAGACACGAGTACTGAGTACTTGTATGAGTACTGAATTAAATACTGATAGAATCCCTTAAATTTAGCTAAAGCACTCTCAGATAGACATCTAGTGTAGGAGTTACTGCCTGATGGAGAGTAGTCCAGCAATAACTGTACACAATTGAGTTTACTGTTGAGGTTTGAAGTAATTCTAAAGCTTCTGGCAGGTACCATGCAACTCCTACTATATGTGTGCAGGGAATGGGGCATAAAACTATTTTAATCTCTGTGCATGTGCTGTGTTGCAGGGCCATCATGGAACACAAGGAGCTGTTGAAGGTACCGTGGGACTGGCAAATAGGTGAGCATGCACACATGCGCACTTGCACACACACAACTTGAATTTACAACCACAAGTAAGTTTCCCACAAAATATAAATGTGTGTTTGCAGGTCTTTTCTACATTGGTTTTAGTGCCTTCATGTTCGGCCTGTACAGCTTCATGCCGGTGGTGATAAAGAGAACAAGTGCCACCTCAGTCAATCTCTCTCTGCTCACAGCTGACCTGTACAGCCTCTTCTGTGGCCTCTTCCTCTTTCACTATAAGGTAAAAACAATATATTTTTCTATTTTTTTCTCTGGACAGCACATATTAATCAACGTTATTGTAAGTGTGCCAGCGTTAGCCTACTGGCAAATTTTCAACTGCAATCCTTCGGCAAGATGTTAAAAGGTTTCAAAACAAACTGCCAAGAAGCATTGTTTTCCTGAATCACTGACAAAACTGTCAGCGGTCGAGTTGCATTGTGGGTAATGAAGGTGCCAGGTTTTGACAAGGAAGAACAATGTGTAGATGCGTGACAAATGAAAGAAGAAAGCAGTACGAAGGGTCTCAGTCTGCAGCCAGGCCATCACGAGCCTCCAGAATAGCTCCAGTACCCCAACCAGATATATATAGTGGTCATATTATGTGCATATGTTCACTCGCCCATAATGCCTATTACATTAGAAGTCGCGGTGGATGTTTTATAAGCATGGACCAGGTAAAGCAACAGTGAACACACAGAGTTCAGATGTTGGTTTCGGTTGTTTGAAAAGCTACTTTATTAACAAGCTGGCATGCGGCTCACCTGCTGCCCTGATAACAGATCACGGGTGGAAAATATGGCAAAAAGATGAGTTCTGTGTCTTTTAGGCAAGTTTATAAAACATACCGCGATGCAGGCTCAATGTTGTGATGTCTGTCAGCCATCACTATGGACGATGGCATCGTCTATTGGACCAACCTACTGCTCAGTTCTGCACCGAGCTTCTGTGTCTGATGTTTCTCAAGTTTTTTCCGGTTCTTAGTTTAGCAGTGTTCCTCAGCTGGTAGAAATAGGAGCTAACCTGGCATTTTACATGCTGGTCAAGACTCAGAGCCTGGCGCATATTTAACAGAAGAGGATAAAGAAGATTTTCCATAACCGTCAGGACAATACCATCTGGTGCAGAAATAAGAACTTTTTTTGTCTGTATTTAGGTGTAGACAATTCTATGCCATCCAATATTTTATAGAGTTGAGACAGTTGTCTAAACTAGTCCCATAGACCTTGTCAGAATATATATCTGGTATGGCCTCATAGGTTGAATTTGTTTTTTTAAAGCACATAAGATGACACGAAGGGATCTGACTTTTGAAACCATTTGTAGCTTCTCTGCGGATACATTTAAAATGTACATTTGAACATCAGCTGCAATACATGCTAAAATCTGATCATTAACACATAGACTGAAGAGGAGTGGACTTAGAATAGGTCCCCAGGAGACACTGACATCGTTACTGAGCCTGGAGACGGTGTCTCCATGCCATTGATCATTACACACTGACTATTATTTACAACATAGGATCTTTCCTTTACCAGGCATGTGATTGGCAAAGGGCAAAAAAGCAGGAAAATATACTGAGACCCCCCCACACCCCGATCAAACTGGTGGTGGCTCTATTACAACATATGGATGGTAAAGCAGGACCCATGACAATAACTTATTTGGTGGATGTGTTGCAGTGGGAATCAAAGACAAGTGTCTAATACACTGCCCCATCGCAACCTCTCTATAATAATTATTATTTTGTATAAATTTTTACTAAACTTCAACAGCTAAATGTGCAACATGAAACATGAAATAATGGAGTCTATAACTAAATAATATAACTACTAACTTTCAAATTAGTTCAGTTGAAGTTAATAGATTATTTTTAACGAATAAGAGACAGCAGCAAAGGTTGTCGCCTGTTTAAGACCTGGTGGCCTAACTGTTAAAGAAACAGTTATATTCTTCAGGAAACTCAGATCAAACTGCCAGATCAGTCTCTGTCTATTGATGAACTGTAGGAAAAAGTTTGACATATCAACTCTGGCGGCGGGCGGGCATGTGAGTGAGACGAGAACGACCGCGACAGTTTCACGGGATCGCAGCAGTTACACAGAAGCCGTTGCCATGGTTACCTCACGGAGCGCATCTGTTGATGAGGAGCGCGGAACGACCCCGCGGATCCAAGCCATCTGAAAAGGCTTTATAAACCCTGTCACAACCATTCACAAGAAAGTAATTTATAACATGCCAAAACCTTTAACATAAGGACGACTTAAAAAGCAACCATTCATACAGCAAAGTGTATATAGGCTATATGATTGATCAATCGACAAAGTCAAAGTAAACATCAGATATTAGCCTATAAAAAGCAATAATCAAAACATACCAAATTTATCCGATCCTTATTGTCAACTCAGTGTTGGGCAAGTTAAATAATATTACCTACTAGTTACTTAGCATAGACTCCTTAAAAAAGTATTAACTTAGCTACTTAGGCTATTACTGGGTGATATAACGCCACTCTCTCCCGACGAGTCCAAGCATCACTGGCAGTAGCGGCCAGAGTTTCTTTCTGAGGTTGGGGGGGGGGGGGGGGGGGGTAAAGAAAGATAAGTGAGAGAGAGCAAGACATAGAGAGAGAGATAATAGTTGTTGCAGAGGGTGGAAAGAGGAAAGAGGAAAGTCTTAAGCCTTCTCTTAAATGTGGAGATGGTGTCTGCCTCCTGAACCCAAACTGGAACCTGGTTCCACAGGAGAGGAGCTTGATAGCTGAACGCTCTGGCTCCTAGTCTACTTTTGGAGACTCTAGGAACCACAAGTAACCCTGCATTCTGGGAGCGCAGTGCTCTGGTGGGGTAGTAAGGTACTATGAGCTCTTAAAGATTAAATGGTGCCTTACCATTAAGAGCTTTGTAGGTGAGAAGAAGGATTTTAAATTCTATTCTGGATTTTACAGGAAACCAATGCAAAGAAGCTAAAACAGGAGAAATATGATCTCTTTTCCTGGTTCCCACGTGCTGCAGCATTCTGGATCAGCTGAAGAGTCTTAATGGACTTTTTCGAGCAGCCTGATAATAAGGAATTGCAGTAATCCAGCCTAGAAGTAACAAATGCATGGACTAGTTTTTTCTGCATCATTTTTAGACAGGATGTTCCTGATTTTTGCACGTTTTTACGTAGGTGAAAAAAGGCGGTCCTTGAAATTTGCTTAATGTGAGACTTAAACAATATGTCCTGATAACTCCGAGATTCCTCACAGTGGTGTTGGAGGCCTGGTTGATGCCATTCAGAGTATCTATATCTTTAGATAATGCGTCACGGAGGTGGTTGGGCCCCAGTACAGTGACTTCAGTTTTATCTGAGTTTAACATTAGAAAATTACAGGTCATCCAGGTTTTAACATCCTGAAGGCACATTTGGAGTTTAGCTAACTGATTAGTTTCATCTCGCTCGATCGATAGATATAACTGAGTATCATCTGCATAACAATGAAAGTTTATGGAGTGTTTCTTGATAATATTGCCTAAAGGAAGCATACATAAAGTGAACAGGATTGGTCCAAGCACAGATCCTTGTGGAACTCCATGACTTAACTTTGATGTGCGTGGAGGATTCATCATTAACATGTACTACTGATCTGATAAATAGGACTTAAACCAGCTTAGAACAGTTCCTTTAATGCCAATTAAATATTCTAGTCTCTGTAATAGGGTATGATGATCAGTGGTATCAAATGCAGTGCTGAGACAAGTCCTTTGTCTGATGCAATTAGGAGGTCGTTAGTAATTTTCACACTCTAAATCCTGACTGAAAATCCTCCAATAAACTATTGTTGAAAGTCACACAGCTGTTTGGCAACTGCTTTCTAAAGGATCCTAGAGAGAAATGGAAGGTTAGATATAGGTTTAAAGTTGGCTAAAACCCTTTTTCAGAAGAGGTTTAATTACAGCTACTTTAAAGTACTGTGGTACATAGCGTGTTAATAAAGATAGATTAATCATATCTAGTAAATAAGTTCTGACTAAGGGGAAAACTTCTTTAAGCAGCCTAGTCGGAAAAGGGTCTAGGAGGCAGTTTAATTGTTTAGATGAAGAAATTATTGAAGTTAGTTGATAAAAGATTGAGGGAAGCAAAGCAGTCTAAACATATACTTTTTACAGCTGTTTCTAAGGTTCCTGAGTTTAGAGTTAAGTCGGTGCCAGTTGTGGGCAGGTCTTGGTGAATTTTGTCTCTAATAGTTAGAATTTTATCATTAAAGAAGCTCATGAAGTTGTTACTACTGAGAGCCATGGGAATACATGGCTCAATGTGTGTGACTCTCTGTCAGCCTGGCTACAGTGCTGAAAAGAAATCTGGGGTTGTTCCTATTTTCCTCTATTAATGACAAGTAGTACGCGGCTCTGGCATGACGGAGGGCCTTCCTATGTGTTTTAAGACTATCTTGCCCAATTAAACAAGAATTTTCCCAGTTTGGTGGAACGCCAATTCCTCTCAAGTTTCCCCAATATTTGCTTTAATTTGCGAGTTTCAGTGTTATACCATGGAGCTAACCGTCTTTGTTTTAGTATTTTCTTTTTTAGAGGGGCTACAGAGTCAAGTGTCATTCGCAGCGAGCCTACAGCACTATCAACAAGATGATTGATTTGGGGGGACTGAAATTACCCTAGTCCTCCATTACTTTGTGACTTGATAATAAATTAAAAGCTGATGGAATCACATCCTTAAATTTAGCTATAGCACTATCAGACAGACATATTGTATAGAGATTTTTGCCTAGTGGCATGTAGTTCAGTAATAGAAACTCAAAAGTTATCAGACAGTGGTCAGATAAAAAGGGGTTCTGTGGGAACACTATTAAATGTTCAATTTCAAGTTGCCATATACCAGAACAAGGTCGAGGGTGTGGTTAAAACGGTGAGTTGGTTTATGAACACTCTGAGAAGCTGCAGTACTAAGGCTGTCATTCTCAACGTCCACATCATCCATCCATCGTCAACCTACAATAATAACTATCCGTTTTAAGGACTAAAGTTGACAAAAACTCTATACTATAACAAATAGAATTGGTTGCAGCTTGATTTCCAACTTGGGTGTGAAAGACTAAGAACAAGGCTTTCAAAGGAGTTATAATTTAGTTTCGGTTTAGAGCAAACTCACATTAAAAACTATTTAAAACTAAACTGAAATTGAAAACAAAAAGTCAAAACGAAATAAAATTAAAAACAAATAAATAATCAAAAACTCTAATAATCTTGGTGTTGACCTGCGGGCTCTGAATGCTTATGACTATTCCTGCTTTGGACAGTCACCCAGCAACCCTTTCCTGGCTGCTCAGGAGATGCCGGGGGACGGCTACCACAGGCTAACTCAGATTCGTCCGCATTGACTACCGGGGACTGGGCTACAGTAACTAACGACTGATCTACCAAGGTGCGGAGCCGGACTTCTAAATCACTGAGCCTCGCCTCCATGTCTACAAATAAACTATATTTGTTACACGTACCATTACCGCTAAAGGAGGCAGAGGAGTAACTGAACATCTGACACACCAAGCAAGAGAGAGCTGCTAAGCTAAAGTCGCTAACAGCTAAGCTAAAGTATGGTAGCGTTAGCTACCAAAACTTTCGAAAACAACAATGATATTTAACAAGAGTCACTAAAAGATGGAAAGAACTGTGAATGCTTTTGCAGAACTACTGTTAGAATGAATGTTTAGCGAACAGGTAGCTGCTGTAATGACAAATCTAACAAATTTTGAAAAAAAAGGTATTTAGTTAGAGCAGCAAAACAAGCTACCAACATCAAAGATGGGGACTTGAGTTAGCGACTCGGACTCGAGTCTGACTTAAGTCGCACACACAATGACTTCAGACTTGACTTGAGACTCGTCCTCAAAAGACTTCAGACTCAACTCGGACTCGAGGTGTGGGACTCGTGAACAATGTTTATTTTTTCAGGAAATGTCTAGGAAACCTGCTGTTATTTCCCTCCGTTACCTATAACCTGCCTACGTAACACGTAGTATCAGCTGCGCGCTGCCGCACGTGAGAGAGGACAACAAACACGCAGCTGCTGTGCCATTCATCATAAACTTTGGCTTTAAAACTTCATACAAGAAGACCCAAACAAAGAAGCGCTGAACGCAAATAGGTTAGTAATGTGTGGTGAGTAAACACCACCAGCTCAGCATTGGCCATCTAACGCTAGCTTGCTTCTTGCTTTAGCTACGACCTACCAGAGGTTTACTCCGACTGTCGTTCATTATGAAAAGATGAATGAGCGTTTGTTTACTTGCCAAACTTGTGGTAGTCGATTAATGTAATCATTTACGTCCTACTGGCTGCCATCACGTTAATTATTACCTTTAGCTAGAAAGAGGTTACAGGTTTATTGTTGATCATGTAACCTTACAGTTTAACTTACACTGGTTTGAGAGTCTGTGGGGTGTGTTGACTTACAGTAGTTTAAGCTGTCATTGATTGCATTGCATACATGGTTGTACTCTGTAAGTTAAAAACCGGTTACAGCTTTATTGTTGACCATGTAACTTTACAGTTTTATTTAGTTAACGTTACACTGGGTTTAAGAGTCTGGGGAGTGTGTTGACTTACCGTATTTAATAAGGCGTCAATAATTGCATTGCACAATACATGGTTGTGCTCTATAAATGAAAACAAGTTACAGTTACAGAATTCCTTACAGCTATGCAGTTTTATAAGCAACCTGGATTGAACGCAGCAGGTGATACAACATTCCTAATAACCACGAGAGACTTGAGACTTGACTTGGATTCTAGCTCAAAGACTTGAGACTTGACTTGGACTCTTTCTCAGAGACTTGTGAGCATCTCTGACCAACATACAAGCACCGGAAACGGAAATTAGTCAATACGCTTACCACACCACGTCCGCACCTAACCATCTGAACTAGCATAAAGCCACAGAGTAGAAATACAGCTTTTAGGTTTAAGTCTGTCTGTCTCTGTGTTGCAGTTCTCGGGCCTCTATATGTTGTCATTCCTCATCATTATCTTGGGCCTGGTCCTTTACTCTTCCTCATCTACCTATGTGGCCCAGGACCCACGAGTCTACAAGCAGTTCAGGAACACAAGCAGCCTGCCAGCCACCAACCAACCCCCGCTCAGTCCTGGAATTCTGGAACCGTCTGTCACCTACACCAGCCTGGGCCCTGAGGCAGGGGACGAGCTTCCTGTACGTGTAGCCTAAGGTGATCTGAGAGTAGGTTTAGTCTGTCAGCCTGGGGGATCAGTGAGTCAGCTGTAGCCTCCAGTTGTATACTGGGAAATGGTGCTGGCTGTACCCAGTCTGCTGAGCAGTGCAGCTGGGGGATCACCCAGTTATGTCCAGCTTTTCATTTTATAGACTGTATTGAGGGTTGGAGTCTCCACTCATTCTGTGACCAAGTTAACACAAATTCATGTTACCTGAAAAAGGAATGACCAGAATGTAATTAAAACAAATGTTGAATTGTCTGTGATCAAAGACAGAAGTGACTGAAAATGATCACTCGTGTAAATATATGGTATTGTGATTTGGAAAATTCCTGCTTTCCTTTTTATATCTGTCAATTTCTGTGCTTTAATATTTGTCTATATGCTAACGCTATGTTTTTATTACTTACATAGTAGTGGGAGAAGTTAATTTAATTCATTCACAAACTTCGTATCACACAAACCTGCGCTAGTATGTAAACATTGCATCAGGGCTGTGCTACCAACTGAAGCTACTAAAGGTTTGTATTTTTCACATGGTGGATATTTTATAGGCTGATCCAAATATATTTAGATAAAATATAAGTTTGACTACTTTTACACCAACACATATTATTTGTTTATCCTCCAGAGTGGAAAGAAGGGTTTAAAACAGCACTAAGACCTTTATCCTGAGAAATAGAATTTACACAAAATAAATGAATTGATGAAAATTTAAATAATAAAAATGATTTATAAGAGACTTTGTTTTGGTGTATGGTCAGGTGGTGGTATGGACTCTTTGGAACTTGGCTACGCCCCGTACTGCCTTTTATTAGTTCTTCCTGTAAAGAAATACAAGCAAGGCCGGGTGTACATTGTATATTATAAGACAGGATTTACAGACAAGCTTATCCATGCTGTTATCACACCCATATAGCTGGCAGACCCATTTCCCATGCTAAAATGACAAAATATGATTTCTCAGAAACTAAGTTGAAATAATTTGACCTAGCAGCCATATATTATGTTACATTATCTGAGGATATCAATTGAAGAAAAAATTTTACTGGGAATACAAAATGGGGAAAAACCCTTCCAAAACGGCGGCCTGGTGAAACTCCCTGCCTGGTACAGCCATGTCTTCCAAACTCCATACACATGTTTGTAATGCAGGCTTTTTGTTGGTCTCCAGTCTCAAGCTGAAAGAACCAGATGTCATCAATATGTCATTTTCACAAACTTGACCGAGCTTCTCCAGAGCCACAGAAGACACAAGACTGTACAAATGTTTTGAGGGATGACTGGCAGTGACCTTGATTATCAGGCAGCACTTCTGACTATGTTATACTCATGAGAAAACTCGCATGAGTATAAAATAGGTTAATGAAATATAGTGAGTGATCAGGAAGCGACAGGATGGAGGTGTAATGTGTTGCTGTCTGTCAAACACTTTGTATTCCACTCCAGTCCTTACCAATGCTGCAGTTCACATTTTTGTTGTTTGCCAGCTGAAAAGTAAGAAGACAGAGGAGATTTAGTCATGTTTTTATTGTTTTGTCATCTCACTGTGGAGTTGGGTTTGTTTACATGTGGCAGATTGCTGAGATGTCTTAGCACCAACTGAATTAATGGGTAAAACATGCTTAGTGTACACTGATAAAATGTTGTCTCATAGTGTGCTCGGGCCTAAGAGCATTATTAGGCACAATGTATTTTTCATTGTTTTGTTACTATTTTAGTCCAAATTCTGTTGAGCCTTAATGTTACGAGCAATATCTTGTCCTGTTGCACTTTGATTTACAGGAGAAACTTGGACACAGGGACTGGACTAAAGGCAAAGCTACATAGTTGGTTTGGTCTGGTTCTTTGTTCACTTTTTGACTGTACCTAATTTCCTGCCTGGATTACTTACAATGGACTTTCATTAGCTTTTGTATCTTGTTTGATGTAGTACATTGGAGTTGTTGTCAACAAAGTGCATACAATGATGTTACTTATGGAAAATAAAGCATCTTTGTCAGACACCCATCCCACCAGGTTTGTGACTGGAGTCGGATTTTAATATGTACTACACTTCGATTTATGTGTTGAAATTTAAACTGAACACACCCTCAAGAAGGACAATCTAAATCTTCCGTTTAAATGTCAGATTCAGGGTGTGAACTACGGGGGAGCCAGGGGAAGCTTAGCTCCCCTTAATAAGACATCAGCTCCCCTAAAACCCTGTTTTGTGATATTTTGGGGGGGCTATGAACTCTAATCAACATTTTTAAATAGCCAGGGATTAAAGACATCTTAAAATTACAAGAAATTGTGCCATCTCTGGCTGTTTAATTTCACACATTATTATGTTTTTCTCCAAAATGTTTTGATAGTTTTGTTAAACCTGTTACCGACTTAAGCATTACTATATACTGTACTTCTTTTTTTTATTCAATAAAATTTTATTTATATAGCGCCAAATCACAACAACAGTTATCTCACAGCGCTTTTCATAAAAGAGCAGGTCTAGACCATACTCTATGATGCTATTTACAGAAGCCCAACAGTTCCCACCAAAAGCAAGCACTAGGCGACAGAGGCAAGGAAAAACTTCCTTTTAAGAGGCAGAAACCTATAGCAGCACCATGGCTCAGGGTGGGCGGCCATCTGGGTAAAACATCTTTAAGCAACCTAGTCGGGATGGGGTCTAAGAGGCAGGTTGATGGTTTAGATGAAGAAATTATTGAAGTTAGTTGGTAAAGATTGAGGGAAGCAAAACAGTCGATGGTTTAGATGAAGAAATTATTGAAGTTAGTTGGTAAAGATTGAGGGAAGCAGGGAAACAGTCTAAACATATATCTGGTTCTACAGCTGTTTCTAAGGTTCCTGAGTTAAGAGATAAGTTGGTGCCAGTTGAGGGCAGGTCTTGGTGAATTTTGTCTCTAATAGCTAGAATTTTATCATTAAAGAAGCTCATGAAGTCGTAACTACTGAGAGCTATGGGAATACTTGGCTCAATAGAGCTGTGACTCTCTGTCAGCCTGGCTACAGTGCTGAAAAGAAACCTGGGGTTGTTCCTATTTTCCTCTATTAATGACGAGTAGTACGCTGCTCTGGCATTACGGAGGGCCTTCCTATAAGTTTTAAGACTATCTTGCCAAATTAAACGAGAATTTTCCAGTTTGGTGGAACGCCAATTTCTCTCATGTTTCCGCGATATTTGCTTTAATTTGCAAGTTTCAGTATTATACCACGGAGCTAACCGTCTTTGTTTTAGTATTTTCTTTTTAGAGGGGCTACAGAGTCCAGTGTCATTCGCAGCGAGCCTGCAGCACTATCAACAAGATGATCGATTTGGGAGGGACTGAAACTAGCATAGGAGTCCTCCGTTACTTTGTGACTTGATAATGAATTTAGAGCTGATGGAATCGCATCCTTAAATTTAGCTATGGCACTATCAGACAGACATCTTGTATAGAAATGTTTGTCCAATGGCGTGTAGTTCAGCAATACAAACTCAAAAGTTATCAAACAGTGGTCAGACAAAGAGGGATTCTGTGGGAACACCACTAAATGTTCAATTTCAATACCATACACCAAAACAAGGTCGAGGGTGTGGTTAAAACAGTGAGTCGGTTCATGAACACTCTGAGAGAAGCCAATGGAATCTAACAGAGAGAGAAACACAGAACTAACAATAATAACTTTGTCCGTTTTAAGGACTAAAGTTGACAAAAACTCTGCAAATTCAGATAAGAATTCAGAATACGGGCCAGATGCTCGGTACACTATAACGAAGAGAATTGGTTGCAGTAATTTCCAACTTGAGTGCGAAAGACCAAGAACAAGGCTTTCAAATGAGTTATAATTTAGTTTAGGTTTAGAGCTGATTAGTAGGGTAGAGTCGAAGATAGCTGCAACTCCACCTCCTCGGCCTGTGCCTCGAGGAATGTGAGTATTAATATGACTGGGAGGGGTGGATTCATTTAGGCTAACATATTCTCCATCACCCAGCCAGGTTTCAGTAAGACAAAATAAATCAATATCATAATCTGATATTAGTTCATTTACTAGTACAGTTTTAGAAGAGAGAGATCTGATGTTTAAGAGTCCACTTTTAACTCTCCTATTCGTTTGCACTATTGCTCTTGTGGTTTTAATTTTTATGAGGTTTTTATGCACAGCTCCTCTTCTGTTTACCTTTTTAAATAATTTCGATGGTCGGGGGGCAGACACCGTCACTATAGGCTTTTCACTAAGTAACTCCTGAAATGGAGGAGCAGAGAAGTGTGTTAGACTGCGACTCTGCGTAGGGTTTTGGGTGGGTAACTGCTGAATTAGAAGGGCAGAGAAGTGTGTTAAACTGCGACTCAGAGTTTATGTACTTTATTTATAGATTTTCAGAGCATCAAGGTCAGTAACAATCCAAACAATTACCCCTACCCCAATCCAAACAATTACCCCCTACCCCAAAGCAGGTTGGGAAAGAGAAAAAGCAAGCTGTACTCTAAAACAACAGTTTCTGTGGCCATCCGCAACTGTGATAAAATTATACAGTTAATTCAATAAATTAAAACATTACAAGCAAGTCCAGGAACCATCACCTTATTGTAGTGGTGCGTGCCCCGGTGAATCTGGAGGCTGTGTTGTCTGGACCTTGGTAGGGTCTCCCAAGGCAAAGTGGTTCCAGGTGAGGGGCCAGACTGAGAATGGTTCACAAAGACCCCTGATAACAAATCGAGGAAGAGGAGGAGAGACCCTGCCCGGAGGAAGCAGGGGGCCCCCGTCTGGAGCCAGGCCCAGAGGCAGGGCTTGTCGGCGAGCACCTGGTGGCCGGGTTTGCCACGGAGCCCGGCCAGGCATAGCCCGAAGAAGCAACGCGGCACCCCCCTCTCCATCCTTTGGACCCACCATCCATCGGAAGATCCGCAGGGGTTGGGTGCGCTGCCACATGGGTGGCAGTAAAGGTCAGGGGCCTCAACGGACCAGACCCGGGTGGCAGAGGCTGGCTCTGGGGACGTGGAACGTCACCTCTCTGTGGGGGAAGGAGCCGGAACTTGTGCGGGAGATTGAGTGATATCAGTTTGATCTGGTGGGGCTGACCTCCACGCACAGTCTCGGTTCTGCAACCGTACTCCTTGAAAGGGGATGGACCCTGTTCTTCTCTGGAGTTGCTCAAGGTGTGAGGAGCCAGGCGGGTGTGGGGACACTCACAAGTCCCCGGCTGAGCGCTGCCACGTTGGAGTTTACTCCGGTGAACAAGAGGGCCTTCCAATGGCTAAGAGTCTCTTTAACACATGAATAATGGAGTCTGTGTATAACCTTATATTGAATTAACTGGTGTCTTGAGTTAATTGAGCATGTGTGTATGCTTTAGAGACATTTAGACCATGCATCCTCTGAGATGACGGTACCTATTTCCCTCTCCCAACCCTCTCTCAGATGTTGTGTACTTTGAGGAGTTTGAGCTGCAAACACATTTACAAACATGGACACCAGCTTTTTGGTC